GGGACAAATTTGTCCCTGTTAAAAAGTCTTAAATACAAAAACAAAACAACAAAAAAATCAATGTAAACACAATAGTAAATCGACAACCTTTGACCAGATACATGACAGGATACCCCAGAACAGCGCTACGCCCTCTGTTGTCCTGGTGGGGAACACTCCCCAGGAGACGGAGAAGCCCGAGATCAAAATGTCTGTCAGTTTGTGTGCGTCTCTCCCTTGTGGAGCTGACGCAGAAGCATAAACTGGGCTTTAGGGGAAATGTAAATGATAAAACACGACTTTATATCATAGAACAGGGTCACAACATCAAAATTAGGCTTTTTTTTTAGTTTCTTGGAAGATGTTAAATGTCGTACCCCAGCTGTAACGGCAAAAACCTTTTAATATGTAAGAAATGTCGGCTCCGGGGTGCCTCATTTATTCTGTTCGATTCTCTTTCGATTGATGACTTTCTGTGCTTTGGTTGTTTTCCCACTGCATCATGTTATCTGCGCCCCCCTCATTTTCCCACCACTGTGTGCAGCCTTGCTGTTTCTTGAATTAAAAATGCGACTGTTGATCTGCTCATGTTCTGTGGAATTGGCTGCCTATCTAACGCAGCATTGCTCTGAGCTGTTTTTGTGGAATCATATCACGATCAGATAGTTTGTGAGCGTCTTTTGTGCGCCTGGGTATCGTAGATGGCTGTCAGGCGTAATGAAGCTGAACTCAGACCAGGCAGAACTCACCTCGGGACATCAACACATTGTCTGGAGAGAAAAAATAGGCCTTTAGTAAGACATGACCTTTTGTCGGGAGGAGTATGCGCAGTGAAATATGATCTATGTATGAATAAAATCTGAGAGACACAATTAAAGGCTCCTTTCTCAGTGTGAAGTTTCTGATTCCAGACCAGCAGAATGGGGGTCTTCACCCCTGAAACATCTCTTGGCTGAGCCATTTTAGATTTATCCACCGTGTCCCAGCTCTTTAGTTCCCACAATCCTGTTTCCTTGTTGCCGCAGCCAGGCTGTGTTTGTGTGTTTCAGGGTGTGGACTGTGGCGGTTACTGAGCTGGTGCCTGATTGTATTAGCTAGCAAAGCTGGTTTGGAGCGTAGAAAACATGTGACTCATAAACTTTTTCTCTTCTGCTTCTCACTCAGTCTGTCTTGTCTTTGATCCTCCCACCCCAACACCATGGAAATGATGTGATGCGTGTTTACGGCCCGCTGCACAGCGAAGCATCAACATGCAGGGTGATCAAACATCCCACTAAGTGAAGAAGTTTCAGTCTGCTCCACCCAATTAATGAGTTTATAAACCCACTCAAACACAAATAATCACTGCAAATGTATGAACGTTCTTCCCATGAACTAAAGTTTTACTTTGATTAATGCGCAGCCTATTTCTGTTTTCCATAAATAGAGTTTATAATACTTGAATCGTTGCGGAGCAGGTTAGTTAAAGACAAAGTTACAGAAAAAGGCTCTTGCAGAATACGTGTGTTTAATTTGCATCTATGATAAACATTGTAACGGAACAGAATGACGTTTTTTTTCCCTTCTTAGCTCAAGACTAGTCTGTTAATAGCAAAAGTTTATTTATTTAATCAGAAGTTTAAAGGAATCTTTGCTTTTTCAATAACCAGAAATATACACTATTCTGTGTTCCATATCAGAGAAGAGTCAAGTTTTTAAAGTTAAGAATTTATTACTAACACTTTAAAAAAAATGACAATTTGAAATTACAATTTAGAAATGACAAATTTTTAACAGACGATTTGATATCAAACTTTTTTCTAAAGGCAAACCTGTGACTGAATGGAAGCTAAAATGAAAATGTGAGTTTTTCGGATGCGTGAATGAATCTCAGAAGGTTTCTTTCAGCGAGAGAAGAGTTTCTGGGTGGAAAGTTGTTTTGCAGCTAACTGAGTTGTTCTTAGAGATAACAGCATACAGACGCAATCTGTCAAGAGTGTCTACCTCACCCAGTTTCAGGAGACCCTCTTCTGGATACGAGATGTCAGGTGGAGATGATGTCCTCCAGGCGCGAGGTTGGTAGAAGGACCTTGGGGCGACCAAATCGGTCCTGAGATGTCTCCTTGGGTCACAACGACTGGTGAAACTATTTGCGTCTCAAAAACAATAACTCTGAAGGAGTTTTGCGTCAGCTGGAAACAGGTGCGCTTATTCGGAGCAATTCTATCGGCGTGACAGAATGCTTAGTAGAGATTCGGGCGGCTGTCCCTCGTCTCCTGGTATGGTTCAAGAACTGAACTTTTGCTGCGGGATTTTTAGTTTGAACAAAAACCCTCAGAACACGCCCTCTCAGCATCAGAAAGCTTGGTCATGAGTAAAGACGTGTGATGGTTTTACCCTTTACCCTGGATGTCCTCTGAATGAGGCTGGTTAACGTGCGAGATGACCTTCTGGTTTGCTGAACACACATTAGGATTATCAACAATAATCATTATTATATCCAGAGCATAATAAGTCTCATCAGTACAGATGGCTGCATAAATAAGATAAAATCGTACTTTTATTTACTTTTGGGGTATATCTATCCATGTTTGGAATATTTAAATGTGTCAATGTAAACACTGATAACAGATATAATCATCAGCTGTTTGATTGTGTGCTTTTTTTCTAATGATAAGCCATCATTAGAGTTTGCCTGTGTTGGTGGCATCACTTCTGTTTATCCGCAGGCAAAAAAACCCCCCAAAAAACAAACCCACATACATGACGGTCAGAAAAAGATTAGTACACCCAATAGACAAGATATCAGCAGATAAAAATGTGGAGTCATGTACGAAATACTATGCAAACTCTGCAATAAAATACACATAGGAGAAACCGAACGCCAACTCATCACACCAGAAATGGAGCATCAAAGAGAGTGTGAGAAGGAAACAAGTCGAAGACACACAAGAGCAGCAAAAGAAGAAAGTACAATAAAGAAATCAGCCGTAACCGACCACTGACGGGGACAGAACACGGATCATGAACACAGAAAAACAAAAATACAAAAGATGGATTAAGAAAGAGATAGAAATAAGGAGACGTGGACACAAAACCAAGAACAGAGACGATGGAGTATTCACATTGGACCAATCATGGGCAGTGTACTTTTAAAAAGTAATTGGTTATAGTTACTGATTACTTTGTCAAAAAAGTAACTCAATTACTTACCAAGTTGCAAGATTATAAAAGTAACAAATTACCAAGAAAAATATACTTCGTTACTTTTTTTCGTTAAAGAATGCAAGAAAAATGGGTTCCCCTCTTAATTAAACTTACTTAATTTAATATAAATGACTACAATACTGAAATATAAGTGACTAATGACTGTAACAAAATAAAATGTATGTCCAATTTTTGAATTAAAATTACTATTTGAAGCAAATGGGCACTTAACAGGAGGAAGTACGAATAGGAACATTACACTCATCTAGACTATTAAAATGTCATATTTGATTTGTGATATTTAACCAGTCAGCAAAAGTTTATAAATGCAAATAGAAACACCTGTAAAGGTTCCTGAGCCTTTAAATGGTCTCTCAGTCTAGTTAAATTACTGAAATAAATGTAATTTTGCACAGTATTCTAATTTTTCCAGCGCCAAGAAGAGCACGGCTGCAGATTCACGCCTGCAGCAGCGACTCTGCGGGTCTGCAGCCGTAGACTATTCATCACGTCTTCCTCGTGCTTCACGGGCCTTGATGCGCTTGGATGAAAACATCTGCCTCTTTAGCTCCCAATCAGCTGATGACGGTTTCAACACACCGCACTGCTGAATTAGTAACGCACGCATTTTCTGATCAGTAACGGAGACGGCGTTATGATAAAAGCAGACGGTAATAATTTAGATTACTCGTTAATAAAAAAAAGTTTTTTTTCAAGCACCAAAGTCACATTTTACAAAAGAACTTTTCAGTTTCACTGAATTTTTTTTTCCCAGTAACGGCGTTATCTTAAATTGCATTATTCCCGTCACTGCTCAGGGGACAGTGTCATCAGCAAGGGGGGAGCGGGCAGTCACTGATGATGGCTACGCTACAGTCATTAGCCGAAACATGTCAGGTAGCAAGCAATTATTTTACTAAGCTGTGTAAAAAAAGAACAAAGTCATAGATTAAAGACATTACTGTCTTGCTTTTACCTCCAGGATCCGCTGTGATGCTGACAAAAAGCAAACTTCTTCTTTTTCTTCTTCTTGTGCTTCTTATTGATGGCTGGGGAACTGAAAGAGCTAACCGCTAAACAGCTAACAGCCATAAAGCAGGTTGAGAGCTCCCCTAATATACCCAAGACGAGGTTGGTAGTGTTTACCGACAGAATCACTAAAACCCACTTTTAAAGCAGTACCTTAAAGCAGGAATATTCAATTACGGGCCTGGAGGGTCAGTATCCAGCATGTTTTAGTGGTTTCTCTGCTCCAGCATCAAGTTAATCATCTGCTGACTGAAATCAGGTGTGTTGAAACAGAGTTAAAACTATAAGCTGCTGGATACCGGCCCTTAAAGTGTTAAAAATCAATCAGAAATCTGTTCCTTCAGAGGTGAGCTCATACCGCGTGTTTGTAGTTCTTGTGTAAAATGTGACTTCTGGGCTTGATGAAGTCTGTCTCTGCATGTCTCATTTTCCAGGAATAAATCAATTTTAAAATATTTATAACTTGCATCATCCTATTAAGGACTGGCTTCTCATGTAAGGATAAAAAAGACATTTCCATGATGCAAACAGTTCCATTTGTGGAAGAAAGTAGCTTTCAATTGGAGCGTTTGCAGGTTTTAGATCAAAGACGAGGATGAGGGAAGCAGTGGTTACAGATTAGTTTAGATGGGTTCCCAAAAAAATGCTTGAAAGCCAACGAAGTGATGGAAACAACTGTGTGTGTTTGTGATCTTTCCAGCCAGAGTGAAAGCACGAGTATCGTGACTGTGTGAGAACGGGGCCACTAAAGCAACACACACACGATGAAACACTCCTCATCTATCTTGTGTTTTATCTGTGTGCAGTTATGCAGGTCGTGTTGTTGGCAGCACTTTAAAAGACCAGAAGGAAAATGTGGAGATGACGGTTCGTAATACAGATCCTGTCCTCAAGGAGGTGAAGCAGAGGCTGGAGCAGCTAACACAGGTACACCCCCCCCCCCCCCCCCCCCCACACACACACACACACGCACGCACACACACACACACACACACACACACTGTGGTGTTAAATACATATTTCAGCACATGCTGCTTTCACAGATTTTTCCTCCAAACAGAAAGCTTTATTTAAATATAGTTGTTGAAACTTTGCTAATAGTGAGACATCCCAACAATTACTGTCCAAGCTGTCACAATAAATGAATATTCAGGGTCCTTCATTTAATTAATTCATAATGTTTGCTGTTTTTGTTCCCTAGTTTTGAGTGATGCTTCTCCTTTTATGTTTTTATGTTTCTCAGACTTGTAGGAAGATCTGTTTAATTTAGTAGACAAAGTTTAGTTTGGGATAGGGCTGTCACGGTAACTGCAAAAATGAAATATCGCAATATGAAGAAACCCACCGCGCTGCATCATGGGCCACCGCGATTACTGAACTTGATTCAACTCAATGATGCATGTTGAGAAGGATGGCTGCACTGGTATCAAAACGAAACGTTACTTCGCTCCTTTGGGAGCACTTTGGTTTTCAGTACGTCAGCTGCTGCGCAGCCAGAGTCCTTGGCTGAGACAGAGCTGCCACCAGGGGGCAATAAATAAATAAATAAACGCTCGGAGACCTGCTGAAGTCCCGGACAAGCACTGCTTCCGCAACCGTCCCGAAGAGAGTTTGAGCCGAGCTGGAGCTCACTCGCTACCTGCAGGAGGAATGCATCCACCCTAAAGAAAACCCCCCGACATGGTGGAGCAACAACTGGGAGAGATTCCCTTTGCTCGCCAGAGTCGCACGCAAGTACGTGTGTGTTAGTGCAACGAGCGCACCATCCGAGAGGGTTTTCAGTGTTGCTATTATGTTTAGATAGTACTGCAATAAAAAAAGTGCTGCAATAATATCGCACACCGCAATATTAAGCCACCCTGAATCACCGCAGGGGGAATTCCTCAACCGCGACAGCCGTAGTTTGGGAAGAAATGTCAAGAATTTGATAGTTTTATGTTTTCAGAAATGATGATTACTCTTTCTAGTCATGTTGAAATCTGGGCTTACATCTTTAAACTATATATTATCTAATAGATTATACTTTTATAATTATTTTAGCCAAATTTAAACCTAAACATCCATAAAATCCCAAATTAAGTCTAGAGATGAGAAACGTTTTTCACAGACCTTATGATTTTACAAATTGGTGAACTATTATTATTTTTTTATTAACAAGGAACCATCTGAACTTACGATCAGGTAAGCTGGTATTCAATTCAATTCAAATTCAAAGATACTTTATTAATCCCAGAGGGAAATTAGAGTTTCAGTACACACAATTCTGAGATCAGACATACATACATAGACACATGACAAGAATTGGTGACTGTGGTCATTCGCAACACGAGTCGCGCTACCTTTATAGATCAAGAGGGTTTATATGAGGATGGAGTAAGGGGGAGGGAAAAAAAGGCACTTCAGAGTTACCCTCAACAGAGAGGGTAGCTTTGCTATGCAAACAAAACCCCACCTCAGACAGATATGCACACAGACTTCAAACATTACACAACATAAGTGTCCACTAGGTGGGGAGGTAGGGTTGGGACTCTCCTCACTTCGGTGCGTGCAGCTGCATGGAGCAGCGCTCATCCCCTCCATTTGGACAGGGGAGGGAGATCATGGGTTAGAGGGCACATTGACTTCTAGATACGGTTCCACGATCTTCACCGGTCACAGTCCCGCCCAGGCTGGGATAGGGAGAAAGAGTTTCCATAGCGACGGCAGCATTCCACATTTCTTCTGAGGGGGGAGTTATCACTTCAAACCTCACAGGCTGCATGGGCACCAGATTCAGATAAGAATTGTTGTGGGGACAGACAGATCATTTCCTCTCTGCCTTAGTGTTCTGTTGGTCTTCAACCCCTCTAGATCCAATAATGGCGTAATTAATCTATACCAATCCCTGCTGATCCGTCAACTCGCTCCTTAATGGAATCAACCTTCTGTGCCAGAGCCTGAATCTCAGCCAAAGTTCAAAGCTTACGACTCATCTCGACAATTATATGAGTTTGTGCGTTCACATCACAATGCATTCCATCCCTGAGCTCCGAGATTAAGCCAATATTCCTCAAAATCTCGTTAATTTTCCGGTAATTCAGGTAACCGGTCAGGCCAAACAGCAGGAATCCCGACATCAAAACCACGAATATCCAGACATCTTCAGAATCCTCTACAGACAGTTGAGAGAGGCAGATCAGGTTCCACAGTTTCCAGGAGTCCATGATATACCCAGCTGGCTCTGTCCCAGAGGGGCATCCGGGAGACCCTTCTCCCGTTCTCATTGTTGAAAATATGTTGTCAATCACGTGGAGAGACCAACTGACCAGGTCTATTTTTAATAATTTCCAGTTTCCAGAAAAAATGCAGAAAGCGCCGTGCACACAAGACAGGACAAAGAGCCTTGGGATGAGGAGGGAGGGGGAGGAGAAAAAAGCATCTGTACTCTCCAAGAGCCGGAAGAAGACAATCACAGTGGGAATAAATTCAGAGTTACATTCATCAGGAAGTTTTCAAATTGTCTCGAATTATTCTCTTGGTGAAATGGTAAACTCTCAATATCACCGTATTGATCCAAATATAGGACGACCCGGATTATGAGAAGAGCCCCCTTTTCAAGACTAATCTTAAGGAAAGGACAAAAAAAATAAAAAGTCACTTTTTAAATAAACCTTTTACTGAAAATTTGAGAACAAATACTGGTCAAAAATACTATTTTAATGCAAAATATTCGAACTTTGCTGACATGTGGAATCAAAAGTCAAATGAGGCTTTTATTCAGACGCCCTCTGCCTCGCTGTGCTCACTCTCGCTGCTGCGGCCCTGGTGTACCATCAGATCGCTACACCTGCCGACTCTTCCCAGAACGTCATCCTCACTGCCATCCAATGCATCCATGCATGCAGTGTTTGACGCCTCTGCTGAATTGACCACCGTCATCTTAAAATTCGCATAACTCTGCCTTAGTATGGCCATGTTCAAGATGAGCCAGTTCTGCGCAGATTAGATCGCCGGTGATCGGCGCGCAGCACATGCCGGTTAGATTTGTGTCCGACTTGACGCCGACTTGCACTGACGTCATGCCTGCGTAGGCAACGATGACCTCGTGAGAACAAGGCGGCCGCAGATTTTGGAGCAAGGCGCTGCAGTCGCTCTCCACCGGCTGCAAAACCTAGGGCGCGACGAGAAATGCCTGGATCTCACCTGACCTAAGATCTGATTGGTTCCCACTCTGATCCAAACAATCGGTTGTAGAATGAGAAATGTTAGTTGTTCACATGCATTCGGTAAATCATGTTACGTTGATGATGACAACTATATAGGCCATGAAGAGAAATGTGTTCTCTCTTCTTTTGTCACGTTTCCTATGAGCACACTAAAACTCTACAGCTGATAACCTTTAATTATTACAGTCATATCTTCATATGTAATATATGATATCCACAAGCATGTGAGAATGTGTTTCAGCTGCTAACAGGCACCAGAATTAAAATAAAAAATTAAACTAGTATGAACGCTAATGCGTGCATGTAGCTTCGTCACCCACAAGCTACATGTAGGGAAATCTGTCCGACTGAAATGCCGGCTTTTAGCCACTCACTGCTGCGTCTGTTAACGAGGTGCTGCTCATCTCAAACAAGGCCTATGTTAACTGCCGTTGACGACAAAAGTTGTCATTTTAAATCCAAGCGATCAAATTTTTTACTGTGTGGGCGTCGAAACGAGCCCCCGCACTGTGAGAACAAACATCTCAGCTCTAAAGCCGATCTTCATCCGTGTACGTCACACGCCATGTGATCAGGAAGCAGAAAATCCATGTGTTAGGAGATCGTTTTGGGCCGCTGCTGTAAAAAAAGTGAGGTGTGAACTAGGGCTGGGCGATATGACGATTTTAGACCGTTTTACGATCTACACATCTGACGGTCTGTCATTTTTGAGAGACCGTTTTATCACGATTCACAGCTCTGCTGTTGAATTTCTGCCTCTGAATGAAAAGGGAACTTACCTTAGGCGAATGACACGCCTTTGTTTGACCCTTAACCAATCAGAGTGAGTCATTGTAATATATTAGTGCCCCGCTTGTTTTCACTTGTGTGTGAACAAACATGGCTTCGGCCGCGGCTGAGCGACAACGAGGTTTTCATTCCGAAGAGGAACGCAGGGTTTCCTTAGCGCGCGGCGCTAACAACTTAGCGACGTGACATGTCTCGGAGAAAGCGTAAAAACACGTTGGACGCTTCTTCTGAAGCAGGAAAATAACACCGCTTCTTAAGCAGAGAACGACGTCGCCTCGGCTCGTTCACCCTCTGCCGAGCCGGACTGAGCTCGGTCACTGGGTCGTTGGAGCTGCCCCGTGACTGCCTGATGGAAAACCAGCGGGTTTCATCAGACTCGTAGTTTCTTGTTTTTGCTGGGGACGCCCTGTATTTTACCGCTCCCTCCTGCAGTCTTCCCCTATTACAATTTAAAATGATTCTGTAAACTCCGTGTATCAATAGAAACAATCTCTGCCTCTGCCAGCTGCAGTAAATGTAGTTTCCAAATAATAAGAGGTGCATTCATCTGTGTATCTCCTTTGATCCGCATTAGTGATATTTTCAGCACCAGAACAGTGAAGCAAAGAAAGAATCCTGAGTTTGTTAGTAATTTTATTTATTAGGTGCATCTAACCTGTTCTATTTTTCTCTGAAATGACATCAAATCAGTGCTTCTATGGGTTGTCTCCAATCTGCACTGGAAAATTTTACTTTATTTAGAGACTTGTTACAGAAAATATTCAGAATGCGCAGTTATTTGCTACCACAAGCGATCTCTGGTCCAGCCGCACATCAGAGCCGTATCTGAGCTTAACTATCCACTACATGAGCAACTGGGAGCTACAGAGTATTTTGAACAAGTTAATGTTTGCACAATACGTTTGCAATTGACATGTTTGCACTTTAAATATG